AAGTGCATCCTAAAGCCTCAGAAAACCAAAAGCCAAATAAAAAGCACCTGCAAACAACTGTTGTTGGCTGACCTTGCTGGAAAGATGCTTGCAATAAATGTGCTTCTCTGGCTGCTCCTGTGGTCAGGAGCTGTTGAACGCCAATCCCAAGTTCTCCGAAGTGCTGTGATATTTTCTGGATAGCCCCCTGTGGGAAGCTGGGAGGGGGGTGGGAGACGAGATGCAAAGTGAGGCAAGAAATTATCACCCACAAAAGCTATGGAATGGGAAACCTGGGCCTCCAACCCCCCAGGACCAATTGTAACGAAAGTGCCCCCTGCTAAAAGGCTTTGGGGTGCTCTGCGTGCTACCAGATACCTCGACTTCAAATACCTGTGTGGGTTTTCCCTGCAATACCCAGCGTCCCAGCCAAGGTGCTGGTCAGGAGGTGCCAGGAGGTGTCAGAACAGCCCAGACTCAAGGGGCATAGACAGACCTGTGACGTTTGGGAGCATGAGGCCACTTCAGAGGCTTTGGCTCGGTGCCATTTCCCCTGTGCATCAGCCACGTCTGAGTAAGAGGGTGGCTGAATGAAGACGAGGGTGCAGAGTGAATAGGCACCGGGTGTATTGCTCATGGAGGGGAACCAGTTTTTACCAATTTTCCACTTTCCGTGATGAGGACCTGTTTCAGCCAATGCTGCCAGGGTGCTCTCTCTTCGGTGGGAGGAGTGCATGAAAAATACAATTTAATGCCACTGTTGGCTGCTGTTCCTTCCCAAGGAGCTGCGTGGGGCAGGGAGCAGCGGTGCGAGCACCAGGGACACCTGTGAAGGCGCTGACTGAAGATGATACTTAGAGGAGCAGTGAACTACACTGGGTGAAACCGTGACTGTCGCTTGCTCTGGGCTGCCCATACGCAGTCCCCATCCCCTGAGAAATGACAGTGTTAAAATATGCCGCCAGACAAAATATGGCAGAAAATACAGTTTTACAAACCTCTTGACATGAAAACTTTAAAAATATGTGGGATATGGGGCAGTAAGAGAGACACCCAATAAACAGCTGGACATAAAGGCAGCTGCAAACTACCCACAAATAAAGGAAGCGCTGAGGCTGACTGCGAGACTGGTGGAAGACTACTCCTGCCATCCTTGTCCTGCTGTGGAAACGTTTTAAGTTGTTACCAGGAACAGTTTGCAAAGGCTCACACAAAGCCACTGTCAGAAATAGCTCGAATGCAGAGAGGAAAAAATTGCTTGAGAGTTCTTTTGGGAAGGATTAGGTTTAAAATAATCACCATTTATAAATTAATTTCACATCCTTTTGGAGCTTGGCCTACTAGCATTTCAAGGCTTGACTGGAGCTGGCAGACAGGGTGGGCATGGATTCCAGGGCCTGACTGCCAAGAAAAAGGAAAATATTAAGAGAAAAAATTGGCAATGAAAAAAAAAAAGGCCAGGGAAATATAGGGAAATGAGATTTAGTTTAGGAAAATCATTGTTCTCTGAGCCATGGACTGATTTTATGGCTGGCATATTAGTCACAGTCTTACATGAGTCCGGCTTTTGTAATTGATGTCTGAAGAGAAACTGGTGGAGAACACAGCTCCCAATGCTTTAATAATTTTTAAATCCATGATTCTGTTACTTGTTATTTTTAATCATGGGGGGGGGTTATTTAAATTCATATCAGTCTATTGAAAGCAGTGGGGAGACTCCTCTCAGCTTCAACAACTTTGAATCAAGCTGTGTAAAAATAGATGCCACATGCCTCAAGACTTCTGCTGCAGTCTTGCCAACTGAGTCCAAGCAGCAAAGTAAGACCACGACTCTTCTGTTTCTTACACCCAGCATTTTAGGGTCACGAGTAATTGGGGCCCAGCCGAAGCCCGTGTGACACCTCTCAGTGCTTTCGCCCAATGCTGGATTAGACCTGAGCGATCTGGGCTTGCTCCTGCTGTTCTCTGCGGCGCCGAGCACATGCCTTCCCTCTGCATTTCCCTGGGCTGGTTTAATAGCAGAGAGATGCTCTATTGCCCAGGAGACATTTTGCACAGTAGACGAACGGCTCCTTTCCAAAAGAAAAATGTGCACGGTGAAAATAAAAATGCCCGGGACATAAAAACGGGAGAGGAGTGAACCCAGGGTGGAGCCCTGTTGCAAGGGCTGCTCCTCCTTTCAGTGCAAGTCAAGCCACTGGTAAACTGGAAAGCACTGTAACAGACGCCAGCCTGAGTCACGGAGCAACTGCAAAGGCCTCTCCGCAGACCACGGCTTGGAAATCGTCTCTGCTGAGGCATGGCTGGACCAGGCCAGTTCTTCATCTTAGCACTTTTCGGGCATTTTGCGGTGTGCGTTTTTAGTTACGACTGCCTGAAGAAGGCTGCCCTCCAGCACTGAGAGGGTGCTGGCAGCTTGCAGCCCAGGGTGGGCAGCACCTCACCGCTGACCCTAGCGAGAGCGGTGGTGAAGCGGGAGCGAGGCGGCCGACATCCAGCACTGCGGGGGGAGGCCTCGCTGGAGGGGAGGGCCCGGGGCTAACGCCCAGCTATCAGGTAAAATCAGAGACCGAGAGATGGGAGATGCAGACGCATTCAAGAAAAACTGTTGAAAACAGATTGTTAGTCAGCCTTATGGATCTCAGCGAAGGACATGTTTTTCCTACTGGAAGAGAGCCATGATGTAGAAATAGACTGAAATAAGAAAGAGGGCTGCAGCCGTAGCTTAGGCTGTATATTTAAACATTTTTGCTGTCAGACCATCTGGGCCTGGAGCTAAATTTACCTACAAATTATTTTCAATGTTTCTACTTCTTGAGAGGTGAAAGGTGCACTTGACACTTTATGCCAGGAGGAAAGATAAAATAAATGTCCTGGGTCAGATTTTCCCAGTGTCAGACCTGTGTGTGGTTTTGGATGCCTAATCTGTCTGCATCTCCTCACTTTAAGCCCAGGCCGGGTGCTCTGCGCACACAGAGCCCCTCCACAGCCAACACAAAATCTTGACTTGCATTCTTGCTCCTCGTAACTCTGCGTTTTTTTCTGCAATGCAAATGCACTCACATATTTTTCTGCCTTTTTTTTTTTGTTACTGACTTTTTTTTTGAACCATGGCTAAAGGAAGACTATGGGGGATCCAGAAAGTCTAGTTTCTGACTCAGCTCAGTCAAATTTGCTCGGTGACTCTCGCGCACCTGGATCCCAGGAGAAAGCCTCAAACTCAGGTGAGGTCTGGCAGTCCCCTAGACATCAGGGAAGGTTTGGTGTGGGCCTCTGATGCCCCACGGGGAGCACACGGGACAGGGACTGGCAGATGCTGGGTGAGAAAGTTGTGTTCTGCAACTCTGCAACTTTTGCAACCTTTCCCCACAAAATGAGGCACCTGCGTCTAGCCTTGGGTTGGCCACTGCTGTGAAAAAAAGAGTCCACCGCCCCAAATTTTAGGTGCCTGAGTCACTCCTTTGGGGACTGGCTTACTGATTCCTCCTTTCAAAGGAAAATGGATGAGGATGGCTGTACCTCTTGCTGGTCAGGACTCCCCAGCTCTTGGAGGGTGCCCCAGCACCTACACTGGAGTATTGAGTGTTCGGCAAGTCTCATCGGACTCAGGGTAAACTAATCTCTCATCCTCTGCCTGTGTTGTTTCTCCTCTTAAGGAAATTTTCCCATTTAAATGGTTTTGTGCAAATGGTTCCTTCAGTTTTCTTTAGAGACAAAAGTGTGAAAGTATCTCTGGACAATCACATCCCAGAGTTGGTGTTTTTCTGGTCTTAAAACAAGAACCTTTATTAGTCTCCAATTACTGCCCGTCAACTTGGGAAAGACTAAAAGTAATTCTATTTGGGGAGTAGAGAAATTAAGTCTCAAGAGACATAGGGCCTTTCAGCTTTTTAATGCAGTTGATTGCGCCTTTCTGTTCTGTGTGCCATAAAAGTAATAAAATTTAAATATTTTATAAAAGTGATCTGTGATGGGTGATGGTACGGAACTGATCTGGTGGTTCAGTTTATCTATGATTTTAAAATCCCCACAAGGAAACTCTTAAATGCTGTTATCCATCCCACATTATGTATATATCATCTCAATCAGAAAGACTTTCTTGGTAATAAAGCTCCTCTATCTAGCTAGTTGTGAGTGCGCTGCCTTCAGACGGTTTCTTTTTAACGGATGGCATGGAGAACTCTTCCAAGGCCAAAATACGTGAATAAGATTTATTAATCCTGTAGCCCCTGTCACTCACGATAATGCTAATAATCCATAAGCCTTACATCATGTCTAACATCCCATGTAGCAAATGCATCTCTGGGAGATGAACAATAAATCCCACGTGCACTCCGCTCCCTTCTCCTCCGCCTTGATGAGGAAGCCCCAGATTTGGTGCAGCTCTTTCCAGCTATCCCGGTTCCTTCTTGCTTCCCGCGCTGGCAGGAGGCTGGCACTGCCCCAGCCCTTCCCAGGGGACCCCTCCTCTGAAGCCATCAGTATTTGTCGCTGTATTTGCAGTCAGGGTAGCGGTAGGCAAAACGGGAATCGCACGACCGCAGGGGTTTCAGGAGCTCTGCCAGCTTTGCAACCGCCTCGTTGACGCCCTGGTCATCGGCGAGGCCACTGGCGCAGTGCTGCAGGAAGCTGTCTATTTTCTCCTGCAGAGGTTGCCGGAATTTCCCCTTCAGGAGCTTAGGCAAAAGCTCTTGACAGACCATGACGAGGCTGTGCTTCTCTCTGATGGAGTTACAGGACACAAATGCAGACTGGCAGTCCACAGTCAAACAGCTAAATATATCTTTATACTCCTGCTGGCCGTCAATCAGCTGGCTCCCTATTAGAGACAATTAAACCAGTTGTTAGAAGCACAGTAGTAAAAGCTTGGATAATCACATATGTCTGTACCTCTGTATTGACATGGGGTTTGTTACTATCTAAAGGATGCGGCTATCTTTCACCACAAAGTACTCTGTGCTGTAGCTGTGTATGGGCCAATTTTCTCACTCCTGAAATACATACATTTTTCTGAATGACAGGGCTCTGCAGAACCGCCTGACAGAGGAAGTGGAGAGGAGTCTGTCGAGTCAAACTGATGCAGAAAAAGCGAGAAGAACTGGAGTACTAACCTAAATTGTGGAGTTCCTACAAAAACTACCACAAATAGCCGAACCCATAATTTTTCCATGTTACCCAAAATCATTAAATTGCAACAACAGCTCATCTAGCTGGAGTCAAGTCAACAGTAATAGCTGTTGGGACAAGAAAAAGAAACCCAGTGGAAAATTCTCTGACAGCTGCTTCTGAATATTTGAGATCTACTCAGCTGAACGCGTGAGCTGAGCAAAGGCCTTTTGAAAATTTGAACATTCAAAATGAAATTGTTGAATTATTGGAGGCATAGTCTTTGACTAGCTCTACTTCCAGGAGTAGACCCATGTAACCTGTGAAAAGTGAATAGTAACTCTTGATTTTATGTAAAAATTACAAAAGGGGGATTTTGTTATTATAATAATGATTATTAGTTAATGTGATAAATGCACCTAAAAAGAGTCTGATTTGACCCAATACTTAAAATAAATCAAGTTATGAAATTTCTACTTGCAAATATTGACATTTGTGTGGCAAAAGTTTTAAAAGGGGTGATTCAGGAAGACTTCAAATGAGAGCGTTCAGCACTGTGCAGGTTGGATGCTGCTGCCACCCACAGAGGGGGCCGGGCCGGACGTAAGCACCCACGGTCGGTTACCAAACCACCGACAGCACAAACAAAACGCCTGTCGCCTTCCCGACTCAGAGCCAGGTTGGCAGGAGCCGCTGATGCTTTTGCTGTCGGTAAACCTCTCCGCGGACTTTTCATTATTTAATTTTGCAAGCAATGTTTGGTTGATTAAAAAAAAAATCAGCAGCACAGCCGAGCGTAGCAGGTGAAAGATTTGTTTCCCCTGCCTCGCTGAGCCCTCCTGCAACAGATGCGCGGCCACGGAGCCTGCTGAGTACCTTCCTCCTTGTCGATGATCCCCAGCATGCTGGCATCCCGGATGAACAGATGCCCGTTGCTAAACACGCCGAAGGTGCCAGCGTCCACATGGGTGAAGTAGAAGAAATAGTTGAGGTCGTTGGTGCCCATGGAGCGGAGGACGGCGAGGAGCTGGAGGGCCAGGTCGGCGGCCACCTCGGGGGCTGCGCCGTAGAAGTCACGCAGGGGCCGGGTGCTGGCGCTGACCACCAGCCGCCCGCAGGAGCCCAGGTACCGTGGGAAGGGCCATCCCTCCACGTCGGGGAAGATCTGCCGGGGAGAGTGGGAACGGGGGGATTGCCCCTGCCCTCTGGCCGCTGTGCTCTGCCCCGCTCTGGACCCACCTCCCTCCCGGAGGACTTTCCAGTGCCCTGGCCGGCTTCAAGCAGCAGTGCCGGTGCCGTGTTTTGCTTTCTAAAGCAGCCTGCAACCCTTCCTCACCCCAGCCTGCCCCAGCAGCTGGGGAAAGCACTGCTCCGTCCTGGAGTAGCTATGCTGCTTTTTTTATTTTTTTATTTTTTTTCCTTTTTTTTAATTAAGGAAGAAGAATCTGATATTTCAAGACTTACTTCATGAGGGAGACTAACCGGAAAGTCCGAGATAATAATAGATTTCAAATTCATGAAAATTTTAGCCACGGAAGAGCTAATTTTAGGTGTCTTTATGGAGCCTTTGATGGGTCCCTCATGAGCACTGCATAGCTGAAGTCACGGCTTGGAGGTGAGGTGGGGCTAGAGCAGTTTTCACTCATTTGTAAGAACTGCCTGGCCGTTTTGTAAGAGACTTTGCAGTCTCAGGGACAGAAGTGCTGGGTGTTTGCTACAGTGGGGACACTTGGGCTGGGCTCCCTGCATCACTGCAGCTCGTGCTAGCAGTGCAGTTTTGCAGGTGGAAACCAAACCGCATGACTTCCGAGCCGTGCCAACACAAAGCTTTCTGCCATTTACATTATAACTTGTCTGTCTCCCCAGCGCCCCAGACCCTGCCAAGGCAGGGTTATGAACTCGTTCAGTTTCATGTTTAAGGTTGCTTCTCCCTTCTGCTGTGAAGGCATCTTGGGCACCCACGTAAAATCAAGCCATTCCTCTGCAGCATATTTTTCTCACCTCTTTAAGCTGCATTCCCCTATCTTTACAGTGCTGAGAGCCGCAGCCTCGTGCCCCAGTGAGCCGTGGCCAGGGTGGCTGACTGACCCCCGGGAGACTCCCAGAGCACGAGCACCGTTCCCCCTCCCTGGGACGGGGCAGAGCCCTGTGAGCTGCTGAGGGCAGCAGTGGCCTGGGGCAGGAGATAGATGCTGCCGCTGCCTCTCTTCTTCGTGGAAGCTCAAAGGGTTGCAAGAAACAGCAATGAGGACTAAAGGTGGGGCAGTGGTGGGGATGGGTGAGGATACTGCCTCAGAAACACATGCAAGGAAAGAGAGGAGCCACATGCCAGGCATGCCAGCAGGGGACCAGGGGAGGGGCGTGAGACCTCCCAGCTCTCTGCCTTCAAGCTCAGAGCTCAGTTGTATTTGGGATTCCACCAAACACCTCTGCAAAGCTACACGTTGCTACAGAGAGAGTTACCAGTGGCATGTAAATGGAAGAAACAGCTCTGGCACATGGAGCCTGGGACATCAGTGCTCCCCAAGTCCATGTTCAACTTCAACGCTGCATCTTGGTCCTCCCGTGCTAAAGCATGCTCTTCCTCTTTCATAAATAGGCTGTGATTTTAAGTAATATATTAGCAATGCAAACATAACACTGTGAAGTACTGGGGACGTGTAAAGCCCTGGCTTTCACAGTGCGCCAGTGCAATAACCTGTCTGGTTTCTGATTTATTTAAGGGGCTGGGCATCCGTATCTCTCCACATCTTCACAGGCTGATGCAAGGACCATTGCAGGAGTCTGCCTGACTTCAGCCAGCCAACCCCATAGAAGAAACTCACTTTATGAAGGCTAGGGAGCTTGCCAAAGGGTAGGGCCGGGACTCCTCTGCAGGCAGGGGCTGGTGCACGTCTCATGCGAGGGTTCACTTGCAAGGGGCTGCAGGGTGGCGTTTCAAGCTGGGGCAAAGTGGTACATACCTGTAACAAGATGGGGTGTGAATTCACTGACAGCGTGTACAGGAGGCGCAGTTTGTCCCGGTCAGTGAGGTGGTCCATGTAGATGCTGCCAGCATCTGGCACCTCAGCGTAGCGCCGCACTATCCTGTCCAGGAGACGCTGGGACGGGCAGCGCAGCATTGGGCTAGACAGGCCCTGGTGAGAGGGCAAAACATGACAAAGGTGTTTATTTTCCAGCCTGAGATGTCGCAATGTGCTTGGCTCATGCTGGGGGTACGGGCACCTCTGTACTCTGCCCACTGTGCCTCTGCCCCCTGTGGCACAGCTGCTGGTGGGTACGGGCACACAGGGGGATCTCTACAGCAAAACCCTCCCAGGAAAAAACGCCGCGCCATCCAAAAATGCCTGTTCACAACTCAGGTTTCCAAAACGGCACCCAGTCTTCGCGGCACAGCCGCGGAGGCTGCAAACCCCGTTTCTCCCCGGCTGCGTGGCACCACGTTCGTCCGTGCTGGCGGGCCTCCTCCCTCTGCCTGGATTTCCAGCCCTGGCATCCCGGCTCTCTGGTGGAGGCCTCCCTGTCGTTAAGCCGGTGAGTCACTTGCCTTGTTAAATAATGTCTTCGGATCACTTTGCTATTTGCTTAACCTGTGAGCAGCTTTCTTGGAAAAACTATTTGCTAAGGTCAGTAAACATGCTTTAAAAGTGTAGATACACACTATATGTGGGTACAAGCACAGGATATATTCTCCCTCTGATAAACTTGCGCATTAACTATCAAAACCAAATTTGAATAGCCTGTGCATATTTTTTGTAAATAGCAGCAACAAATAAAGAACTGTTGGGCTAATGGAGTCAACCATTACTGTATTTCACCTTTCAGATTTGGAGGTTTGGCTTGTAAAATTGCACAAGCAGTCTATGGCTGGGATAAATGGCATAGAATTTTCTGCCTTCGTAGTCAAAAGAGACCTTTGTTGTCAGTCTTCCTTAACAGCCAAGGAGAGTGGACGTACAGACAGTTGCCCATAGAGGCACAGAAACGCTGCCCTGCCCTGCCTATGCTGGGGAAGGGAATCAGGTTTTTGCTAAGCTTTTTTCTTCCAAATGATCCGAGGAGCCAAATTTACTCTTTTGGTTTTTCTTTCTAAGTTGATGGCTGGGAGACGTGCTTTGGAGGAAAGGGCACTGGAGCTCACATTGCTCCCTGCCATGCTTCACATTGAGAGCAAAGATTTGACTCAGGATCTCCCCAAGTCATTGGTAACTCTAAGGTAGGTCTCTCTCAGCCCTTCCTGCGTGAGCTGTACACTTGGCATAAAACACTTAATGACCCAGCCATGACAAAAAAAATGAAGAAACAAGGAAAGAA